AGTTTGAACGCTCTAGGTCCACGAGGGCCGGAGTTATGAATTTCCGGTCAGACACACACACCGACACACACACAAACAAACACACACACACACAAACACACCGACACACCAACAGACACACTTAGCGAATTATATATAGTAGGAAAGGATAACTTATCAGCACTCAGGCATCTTTCATAGTCCACGACCGGTCGCGCGACCGGTCGCCGGTGGGTTGCGACCGGTCGCGCGACTGATCGCGCGACCGATCGCGCGACTGGCCGCCAGTCGCTAGCGACCGGTCGTGGACTATGAAAGATGCCTCACACGTAAAAGGTAGTGAGCAGGTCAGCCGATATCAGCATTAAACCGATAAGCTGAAAGCTTCACTTTATATAATACCTTTCGAGTTGATGCTTTGTTAACTGCTGTTGATTAGCCGCAGTATAAATCGCCAACTTTGCATGATTTTCGCATCGCGTACTGCGGAGAAATAACAGTCAAATAGTTAAAAAAACATCAAAACAGAGTTGTGAACGTTTGAACTTATTGTTAGCCCCGCCTACTTTGCTATGAGCCCGGTCGCCTACTTGGCTGAAGTGGCCACATTTCTTTATTTTCCAACCAGTTTTCTTTTTTGCGCTCCAGAACGTTTTTGAAGACAGTTGTGAGGTGTCGAACACAGCCCTGAGGTGTAGAACACAGCCCCGCCCACCTTAGTGCGAATCTCGCGCACATCGAGAGTTTCCAAAAACTTCTTCTATGACTTCTGAGTACTTTTTCGCTTAACTCATTCCAAAATAGATCTGATCTCCTCAAGTATCTCTTCATCTAACACTGCATTACGTGACAGACAGACAGACAGACAGACAGACAGACAGACAGGCAGACAGACAGACAGACAGACAGACACAGATATACGGACAAACAGACAGACGTGAGCGCGTTATATAGTATAGTAAGGATTACATTACGGACACCACACGGAGTTCTCTCCCTCTAGGCAATAGAGCAAGTAAATCTTCACATATCTTTCAGAGGATCTTACCAACAATGAATTTATATTATTGTAATAACCAGTCGGATTGCCAAGCTGACGCCGGGATCTCCTTCTTGATGCAAAGTTACTTCGCCCGAAAACGTCGATTTAATGAAATTCTTTTCACTTTTTTCGTAGGTTATTTCGCTGTTTTGCTGAGCTAGATTGATAGAGTATAGATTATCAAATGTCTTCAAAGAAGTAGCTCCTTTTCTTCACGGATACACCATTGGAAGAAAATCCAACATTAATAGCGGTCGGATAGGTTTTACCAAAAGTGATATCAAGGTAGAGGAAACCGTGATTTTTCACTGAATCGCAAACTTGGTCGGGTAGGAGTTATGGATTTATACTCAGAATTTATTTCGCAGAAAACCCGTCCCTCGGGGGTGAAGTCCCACCCCACTCACCATAGGTGTTCCCTTACTGCCGCCTGCCTCCTACCAAGTTTGAACCTAGAGCCAACTGAAAATTTTGATGCAAACTCGCCTTCTATGACGGAGTCCGGTTCTCCCGCCTACGATAAGGGTTCCCATCCTGCCGCCTGTACTACTGCCAAATTTGAACGCCCTTGGGTCAAATTGATGATTTTGGCGCAAAACCCCGCCCTTCGTGGGCGGAGTTTGTCGCCCATTCTCCAATCAAAGTGTCAGCGAATACAAAGATGCACTGACCGTAACTTTCAATGCAGACCACCATCGTTGGGTATGACATGACATTCCGTTCTGTTTCATCACTTGACATATATAACTCCGCTTATGACTGCAAAATATGATGTTGGTCACATTGAATTACTTATGAATACAAAGAAAGTTATGTATACCACGATCGCCCTTCTCTTAATCTTGGCATGAGCTTTGACTCTTCTGCATGTTTACTGCAGCCTTTCCAAGATTTCATGAGGCTAACGTTTCGGCTATCTCGCCTTCGTCAGAGCCTGAAAGTCGAACAACTATTGGAATTGATCCTATAATAAGGCAAGATAAGCCCGGACAGTTCTCTAGACTAATAGACCTCCTGGGCTCGGTATACAAGAAGCTCTTTCACTATACTTTCAGGCTCTGACGAAGGCGAGATAGCCGATACGTTAGACTCATAAAGTTGTAAATCTTGGAAAGGCTGCAGTAAAAACAAAGAAGAGACAAAGAAAGTTAATGCACGCAGTTTCTCGAGCACTCGGAAAGTTCACGAATGTCATGAACCTTGACCCTCGACTTATGGTAAATAAACTCGCTCTTTTTGTTCCCGAAGTCCTTGCAGGTATTCAACAACTGCTCCATCTTTATCGAATCGTTCGACCACAAGGCCCGGCATGAGAGCATGTTCACTAATCCTGAAAGATAGCTGATAACAAAAGATGAAGTTTTTTGGCTCGATAATCTCCTCTGAAAGAAACGCCCTCGCATTCGACCTCTTTTCAGAATTTTAGTGGCTCATTGAATGCGTATGTGAATTTAAAAATGACTGCGGTGGCTAGCCGATGTACGAGTTAGTGCCGTTACCCTCCCAGGAGACTGGTACGATGGGACCTTGGTTAGCCTAGGCAGATCTGAGATTCGAAGGCACAGTTCACGATAACTTTGGCTAATCCAGATTATGACGAAAAATGGAAGATAAGATGGAAAATAGTGCGGAAGAACTGCGTAGATCGGTGTTTCTCAAGTGAAAAAAAAGCTTCGAAAAATCGTTAAAAGGAGGGCTGGACGAGAATTAGACCAGAAAAATGAAGAAGAGGGGTGTTTATACGAGGGGTCATTGCGTACATGTGAGTCCCGGTGCAAATAACTGATTACGGTGAGCAAAAATTCATTCACATATACGCATAAGTAAACAAAAAAGAACCTAGTAACAGCAAAAATAGCTCACTTTTTTCAGCCTCTTGGGGTAGGAAATGAGGGATAGCGGCAGCAAAAGATTAACAGAGGAAAAAGAATGGGAGGATAACATCGCCCCATCACTCGACGATCAGCTGTTTGTGATGGTCCTAGAACAAATAATTGCAATCTGTATCACTTCGACACTCGTCTGACGTGACATCGATCGAGTGGCGGTAAGGCAGCTCGAGGAGGGTATGGGGCTTCCACAAAGCCCTAACCGTAGAGTTTTTGGGCGCGAGGGGGTCCTTTCTATTACCCTTGGGGCCACTGAGTATTCCTGAGGGAAGAACTCAGTAGCCGTTTTATCGTGAACCGTGCCTTCAAATCCGTGACCGCCTAATGCTACCAAAATGTGATTTATGTATGTAGTTAATAATGCACTCTCACTTTGCAAAACTTTTCCTGTGTAAAAAAGACGCTTAGTATGCCTCCAATTTGATGCATTTTTATGAATGCTGCTCTCTGACACGGACTAAATTAATAATTCCAGCAGTTTTGATGCGTACGATGATGGACCTTCGGAACATGGAAAACAGAATTGGAAAATGAGGCATACGGATAATGGACAAAATATCTGGCATTAATCAATACCTGGGTCCGCCCTGCATTAGCTTTCACTGAGAAACATGATGGTGGTCAGCCGATGAACAGGGTGTCTAAAAATTAAAGGGCAAATTACAGGAGCAAAGTTAAGGCACTCCTGTGGCAGAAATGATTCATTGTTTTCACTTCATTAATTATGGATTACTTGTACAAGTAAGGTTTCTCGCAATCTGCATAGTTACCCAGGTGTGAATTCTAAAATCTCTAATGAGATGAAGGCTGATTCAATGCCACTTGCAATCATTCGCATGCTAGAGGTGGAAGGTCAGAGTAAAATTTCTTGCGACTCCAATCATGACGGGACTGAAGGCTACTAAACAATACAGAGAAGCAGAACCAATCGAAGGCAAACGAAAAGCTAGTGTTTTCAAAAATAGGACTATCGAAATAGTCTGCTTGCCTATCTCCGCCTCCATCGTACAATTCTCCAACTTCTCTTTCATTTATCGTCATAATCTGGATAACACAAAATTATGGTGAACTGTGCCTTTAACCGTTCACGAAGGGATGGAAGGGTTGCTAGGCCTAGCCGGAATCGATTCGGGATTTGAACCTATTACCATGCGTGTGTGATAGTGCTAGGATTCACAATAAAATTCAGAGCGAGAACGAGGTCAAATTGACGCTGTTTCCGGGTACTCATAAAAAGTCCTTTCGAAGAAGAACCTGAATGCTCGGATCCTCAATGAGGCGGTTAGGTCTCAAAATATCTAAAAACACTTGCCATGAAATTATGTAGTTCTTATTAAGTGTAACTCACAAACCTCGTGTGTTCAGCATTCCTATAATCTAGTATGAAAGAAGCATAGTAGATCGCACCCAAGTAGCATATCAGGCTCCAAAACCCAGGTCGATCAAGTACTTGTTGAAGAAGATAATGACGTTGCCCAGACGACGTTACTAATGCTCTCATCTACAACTCAACAATTCACAAAATTCTGGAACTATGTATTACATAAAATCATATACCACCGCGATAATCGCCGTGTACTACTAGGGTGTGACTCCAATGAGTGCTTTCAGAGTTCAACGAGTGCACTGTTTTACAGACCGACCAAACGGCGTTGTTGGATACGTATCGACTACACTGGACCTATGGATACCGCTCACGTGGCCCTGAACGCAATTTATTGGATGTCCGAAAAGTTTTGAGGCAATTCAGCTGGTTTTTTCGACACGAAATAATTGCAGTAACAAGCTTAGATCAGGGTCAAAATAGTGGCCCTGCTTAGCCACAGCGTCTCTCCATCAACCGGACAAGGCAATGATGTCATTCTTCCATATGTATAGAGGTGTGACGCAATTCATTCATCTACCACCAACTTGACTTCTTGACGGTTGATGATATTTTTTTCATTTAGAGCAGGTCTGCGGGCTTCTGAAAGTATGGCAGGATTGAGGTCAGGTGAATATGTGGTTAGTGGGGTAGTCAGGTTATACAGAGTTTTTCCAACCCATCCATCAACGTTCTCGCACGGGGGATCGAGACGGGGGGGGGGGGGGCTGTGGGGCTGGGGGCTCGAAACGCCAACTCTCTCCATCGGTAACAGAATACTCCTACGTTTACCGCAGTACACTCTGGAAGGATTTCCCAGTGAAACACCTGCTTGAGCAGGGAAGAATGAGCTCGTCTTTCTTGACGTGAACGCCTCGCTTTATAGCGGGCTGTGGCCTTAGGTCCGTGGGTAGGCGTGGCGATTTCCTGTGTGGATTTTTATGGGACATCTACTTTTTATCCTGAGCAATGATGAAGACGGTTGATGTGGTGAGCTTCGAGGAGCTTCTGACACACACTGGCTCGCACTCGAGCTCCTGCTCAGCCAGGGAGTGGGCAATATTTGCAAACAGTCCTGCTTTGAAAGTGACTTTCTTGTAGAACATCATGAATGATGGATTAGGGAGTGTAGAGATTGTCTCTTCTAATTCCTGAGGCTTTAAGAAGGATTGCTCAAAAAAAAACTTCTCAACTTCTCAAGGTTCTTCGAAACAAATCTCTTCTCAAAGGAAGCGATCGTTGCGGAAATCGGAAAATCGGCGGCAAACGCCACGCCTACCCACGGACCTAAGGCCACAGCCCGCTATAAAGCGAGGCGTTCACGCCAAGAAAGACATGAGCTCATTCTTCCCTGCTCAAATGGGTGTTTCACTGGGAGATCCTACCAGAGTGTACTGCGATAAACGTAGTACTTCTGTTACCGATGGAGAGAGATGGCGTCTCGAGCCCCATTTCACACCTACTTCAAGGAGATTTTCGATTGTGATGGATAATGTTCGACTACGCTGTTCGAACGCTGATGGGTGGGTTGGAAAAAATCAGTATAACCTGGCTACCCTACTAGCCTCAAACCATATTACTGCCATACATTAAGAAGCCCACAGACCTGCTTTAAATGGAAAAAATTCATCAACCGTCAAGAAGTCAAGTAGGTGATAGATGAATGCATTGCGTCACGCCTCTATACATATGGAGGAATGACATCATTGCCTTGTCCGGATGATGGAAAGACGTTGTGGCTAAGCAGGGCCACTATTTTCATCTCTGATCTAAGCTTGTCACTGCAATTATTTCGTGTTGAAAAACCAGCTGAATTTTCTCAAAACTTTTCCGACACCCAACAAATTCGTTTAGGGCCGCGTGAGTTCAATAGGACCCCCACCACCACCCCCTAGGCTTCACCCGGGGTGTTTTTCTCTGCGCTCTAGCCTTTTACTGTCAGGGAAGCAGAGAAGTTCAAGCAGCCACGTAACCAGCAAGGGACATGCCCTCCATCCGCTGAAGCATGCTACACGCATACTGTTTCGCTACCTGATTATCTCAGCGAGAGAAAATATAGTTGATAAAAGTCCCACAATCGTGTTCAGAGTTTTCGCATAAAGCAACCTAAAACTAAATAGACGAGAAACGAGACGACCTCTTAGCTACCAAGACCATCAAGTCCGAGAGACTAGAAAAAAAAAAAGCCGTAAAGGTAAGTGTTAACTAATCAGCAAATAAGATATAATGAAAAAACGATTTCTCGGCTATCAATCACACAAAAATTTTGTACATTTTAGTAGTCTATCAATAGACAACTCTTCACGACAATGACCAGAACGCAATATTTGAACGAAAACATACACAAATCATTGATTGAAATAATGAGGACCCGTTCATACCTATAAGAAATTGGTAGTCATGACATCAACCCAACTTACTATCTTAATCAGCGACATATTTGTTGGTATATGTTAGTACGCTATAAAGAATCACCCTTTAAATGTCGTCAGAATTCTCGTGCACAATAAAAGTACATCATATGGCTTATTTTAATACAATTTTCGGAGAAAACATTACAAAAAAGAAAGTGGTGTAAGTAAAAAAGTTATTGATTTACAGAACATTGTCAACGGCATATTTTCCATCATACACAAATGCTCAAATAATGAAGCGGTGCAGAAATGCCCACATTATTTGGCGCAACCACCGGCACCTAGCAAGCGCCAAATGAGATTATTTGAAGCCATAAAAAGATTCCACCTTTACAAGTTGATTTCGTCAGCATTTTGCCGTATCAATAACAGAATATTGCAAGTCTTGGCTAGACAGAATATTCACACGCTGGCTTGCTCATGTACGGCTCGACCAACGGATTTAGCCACCGCACGGAACACGGCCCTCCGAATACTGACTGCATGTTCTTCTTCCACGAGATCGCTTTCTGTCGATCTTCACGACCACTAAACGGCAAATATCAAAGAAGAAATATCATCAAATTTGAACAGTGTCACACTTGCAACCCATACAGAGACAATTTTTCCAAACGTGATCATATAGCATAATTACATAGGTTTTGAATGCATGCGATCGAACCGCAATAAATACAAAGCCACTCAAATCAATGGATGTCTCAATATCAAGTGCATACGATGCATAGCTAGGTTGGTCATCGGCTGGCCATGTTTATATACACCAAAAAGCAACTCGAATCATTTGTTCAAGGTCACTGCTGCTCAAATGATCCAGCCTATTTTTACCCAAAGACTCAAGAAACCAATGGCGGAAATTTCTTAGGCTGCTCCGATATAATGCGCACCGCTTCACCGCATATGGATACTCTTTATGAAGAGCTTTCCCGGGTGTGGGTTCCACACCCTAACTACGTGTCGCGCTTGCCGCACCCAATCGGGCGCAGGGAAAGAGGAGATTTAAATTTACAGGGGAACCGCTACGAAACCATTGCAATGAAACGTCGCGTAAGATACTGACACCAAGCTTTTTCACATACAATGAAGAATTAAAAGCACTAAAATCATACCGTTTCAGAGTTTCAATGGCCGTTTCATCACTGCATATGGCCGACAGTTGTGTGCCAAACATGACTGACGTAAAAATTGCGAACAAAATGGCTTCAAACATCAAGAAAATCTATAAAGGAGAAATTCTGGTTGACGAACAATCTCAGAGATCTAATGAAAAATTAGGGTTTGCTTAAATAAATGATACAAACCCCTTTCTAATACCCGAACCTCGAGCTTAAAGGCACAGTTCACGATAATTCGAGGTACCCTTTTTAAAGGCACAGTTCACGATCATTTTGGGTAACCCAGATTATCAAAAAATGGAAGATAAGATGGAAAATAGTGCGATGGAGGCGAAGGAACTGCATGGATCGGTGTTTCCGGTGTGAAAAAAGGCTAAAGAGGGGGCTGGTTGAGAATGAGACCAGAAGAATGAAGAAGAGGGGGCGTTCGGACGAGCTAAGCANAAAAACCCTAGTTACAGCGGAAATGGCTCACCTTTTTCAGCCTCTTGAGGTAGGAAATAAAATAAGGGATCGCGGCAGCAAAAAGAATAACAGAGGAAAAAAGAATGGGAGAAAAACAGCGCCCCATTACTCGGCGATCAGCTGATTGTGTGTGGGTCCGTGGTGTGGTTAGTTAACAAGCTCAGACGTTGTTTGGCTTTGATGCAGTTCGCATGGTATCACGCTAACTACAGTTCTAAAGTCTTTTGAGAAGAACGCCACTTGGTGACTTATGACTCCGCTTTCTAGTCAACGAGCAGCTCATACTCTTAGTCGCGAATGTCGATTACGGAATCTCCCCATTAACTCGCAAGAGGGTAAAGAATCCCAGTTGAGGCGGTTTTGAAGTTCGTTCCCTAGGCTTCACGGCTCCCAGTTCATGAACTGAAAAATAGAATCTAGCGCGGATGAGATGTCAATTCCTAAAGCCAGCTGTCGCCCAAGCGACTCCAAAAACCATGCGGAACAAAAGACTTCTGAAACAGCCTTTAGCATGGATGGCGGGGGAAACTGATAAGCTCGAGCAGCCTTTCATCTACTAATTCCATTCAGTTCGGTGGGTTTCGATGCGCTCTCAGGCTCCACTCCTAGAGCCAACTTTGGGGTCGAAATCGCTGACTATAGAAAGAAAGCAAAAAGATCTACGCGGAGAAAGTATGGGTGTCCGCGTAGATCTTTTTGCAGTTCCACACAAAAAGCTCCTCTTCTCCGTAGCTTGATATAGCTCTTAGGTGACCAAGTTTGCCAGGGTGGGGTTGAGCCATGTCTTGTTATTCGCAAACGTCTGATGACAATGGTCAGATCCCAAGTTCTATTCAGAGGCAACAGCAACGTCAATCAGGCAAAACTTCAGATTGGAATGGGTGCAATTCTCCTCCTGTCTCTAAACGATATAAGTAGTCCTAAAATATTGGCAGTTTCTTCCGAGCGATCCTACCCAGCGCTGGAGGCTCCCCTCAAGTACAAGGGAATGAGGATTACTTACATGTTGACACATGAGCACCGACGCAGCTTTCCAGGCTCTAACCTTGGGATGGTAGACGCCTGGTAGCATTCAGGCTATCCACAGTAGTCAAGGAGTTTATTTGTTGAAGGGAACCCCGAAGCTTGCCCCACTCACTACCCAATCACTCAAATGCAAGCTTTTAGTTGACAGGATACCAATCACGCACTTTTACTCTCCAGAGACGCATACATTTATACGCCTGCGAAACGGTAAAATAAAAATCGACCTAACACTGCAGAAGTAGAGAGTCTCATCCTATCTGCATCTTTGGGCNAGTAAAGGTGGCTCATGGTCTACGATTTACATGTCTCTTGTCTAGGGCCGCGCCATTTAGCCTAATCAACAACCGGTCTCAGATCTTCCAATAAGATTCCCACTGTGAAGGATATCTCCCGAGAAGAAGAAAGAAAGTGCAACACAATCTCAGAAGTCTATGCAGGAAAAAGGAAGATGCACCAAAATACCAAATTATGTACTTACCAGCATGAGTGTTGTACCTGGTGGACCAAGGTTACTGCAGCTATGCCACTCCTTGCCGACGCAAAGTACAAACTGCCATATTCCCCAATAAAGTGCATGAAAAGACAATAGTGCTATGTACATCTGAAAGAAAATTATATTGATCACAAAGCAAGCAGTCAAGCAACAGGATAATTTGATTTTTCACAAGCTAGTGGTTCGTAACCTTAAAGCTGTTCTTGACATGAAGCTATCAATCCTGATTCCTTACTCTATCCATTTACAATAACGGAACCAAAAATGCTTCATGTTGTCGGATCTTCTGAGCTTTTGAATGGAACGAGCGCATTCGTTGTAGCTAGTTTGCACTTAAGCTAATGTGTTTTTACGCAGATATGTGCATTTTTATCCACATATATGCGTAAAAGCGCAGGTACTATTATTGCGCCCAACTTTTTCATAACTTCTCTACTTTTTGATATTCTAGTCTATCAAGACTACGTTGTTGTTAGCGCTTTACAATAATTTTGACTTTCAAAATAGCACTTCCAGAATAACTCGACACCAAAAAACTTGTTAGCTTTGTTCCCGAACTTCATTCTGATGCTTCCACACTTGAACGGGAGGAACACAAAGAATAAGGCAAGGCAGAATCTAATAATCATGCCTTCCCTCAAATTCTGTGGGCCATTGCATTGGCTCCAACAACGTATGGACAGGCACAATAAAAGATGAAAAAACTACTCGAAGAGCTCTTATCAAGAATAGTCTAGTTTTCAAAAATCAAATGCTGTACTAAAACTAAGCTATGTAACACCATGTATTTGTGGTATGCACCTGCTCTTTGGAACTTTTAGAGTGTTGTCCGATCAGCTCATTAGCGCAATTTCTAAGGACAAGAACACAATTACAAAAGCTTTAAGGAAACCGGTGAACAGGCAAACTTGTTTGATGTTTTGAAAAGTATGAAAGCTCACCGTGAACAGAACAAAATACTTCTGATTTGCCTCGCCCACACAATTATTCACCCATGGACAATGATGATCCATACGGCGAATACAACGATCGCAAACCGAGCAATGATGCGCACGATCCGGTTTGATACTACAGCACTTCTGACACTTATAAATCACCTGAAATTTTTTTCAGGAATCATTTGTTTATCTATTTATTTATTCACGAATCATGAGGAAAAATTCGCCAAAGTAGGATAAGAGCATTGAGCGTGCACGAGGGCAGTCTTGCGTTAGACAAAGCCACGCGCTTAGATCAGTGCCGTGCCGTTCGGACAACTTATACGTCGGCCTGGCGTCGCGCCCTCAGTCCCGCCAGGAAGGCACAGTATGCTGCAGAGAGCGGGTCTGATACGTGGCTATGCTTAGCCACGGACTCTGGCTGCTCTTTCTATCATGCGACGATTGCATCATCCAGCCTCGTCACCGTCGTGTTCGCAGTGCCAGAACGAGGGTGGGAGGATTTGGATGGCCCTGGATTGAGAATTAGCAGGATCGTACCCTCTCCGTAGGTTTAGTGTGGTTTTCATTTTTATTTGGTTTTTCCATACTATTTCTCACATTGTTATACGTATCGTAGTATTTACATTTATTCGCATTTAATCTCACATTTATTTCCTTCATACGTAGTTTCTTATAAAATAGTATAATCCATGATGAGTGCTCTTAGTATTGAAGTGTGGTAACATCCGCATATAGCAGGCATCCTGTTGTGCACAGGGATGGGTTCACTGGCCCAGGTAGGACCACGCGCCCAGGACCTCGAGGGAGCTCGGCGCTGGACGAGCCACCCATCAGCGTAGTGCGGAGGCAGTACCAGCCCGTAGGAGGACGCAAGGG